TCGTCGTCATCCGAGTCCCACCCGCCGCCCGAGATGGGTGCGGACAAGGGGATGGACGAGGGGAGCGGGTGGGGCCCGTCGAAGGACGCGGGCGCGTCGAGGTCCATTGAGTCGGAGGTGGCCGCGTTGTCGTCTGTAGAGTTAAATTAGCATTAATGAAGTACAGGTAGAGGCAGAGGTAGAGGTTAAAGAGGGAAGTGGGCAGAGACGACGCACCATGCACAGATAACCCCGCAGTCCAATCGAAGGGAGCGTAGGCGCCGTCGGACGAGGGGTCGTTCTCCTGCTCGTAGTCTTCCTCAATATTTGAGCCCAAAGTCACAGGCCGGCGATTGCGCTTGATGGGGGACGACGAGGCGACGAGCAACAGTGGGTCGTCCGTGGGGCTCGGGGGCGTCATGGGACGCGCGAGGTCGATGGGAGGCAGCTCCTTCTTGACGCTGTGCACGACGACACGCAGGGGCGTGAGCGAGATGCGGGGCTGGGGCGTGCTTGTGCTTGTGCGTTGGCGGGGCTTAGGCTTGGTCTTGGCTGTACGCTGGGAGGGCGTCTGGAGGAGGATCTCGCGCGGGGGGGTGAAGACGTCTGTGGGGGCTCGTACGGGGTCACGCTGCGGCGACTAGACAAAACGGGTGCGGGGGGCATCCAGTCCGCATTGGGGTTGCGTGCACGGGGAGCAGGCATGGCGAATTGGGGCGGGTGGGGGAGTCTAAGTCCTGGACGGAGTGGGTGCTGGTGCGGCGGCGGTGGGCCTTGCGAGGCTTTGGGTTCGGGGTTGCCTCGACGGGCTCTGCGGCTGGTTTGGACGGCGTGCCACCGACTCCTGCACGCTTGCGCTTCGACTGGGCACTGCTGTTCGTCTGCACGGTCTCAGTTTAGCGGTGAAATTAGCTGTAATGCCACCGACTGACTCTTGTGTGTCCAAAGACGTGTGTACGCTGCAACTCTTCTTCTGGGGGCGGGCTAATTAACATTCTTGCGGGATCCATCGCCTGCTTTGCGAGGTCGAGCTTTGGGTTTGGAATCTGGGGTTCTGCATTCTCGTTCATCGCGGCGAGAGACAAGGTCAACTTACCACGTGACCGCTGCAGGGACATCACTTGTACGTCACTTTAAGTTTTGATGCCAGTGATGCCAAGTAGCATGGGCGTCGATGGGTCCCTCGAATACATCGACTACGAGGAGGAAGCCTTACGCGACGACTCTTGGAGGCGATATGACCCCTCCTCAACCGGGCTCGTCTTCCGATACATCCAGTTCCAAGACTGGTGCAATGGCGGCCAGGCGTTCTATCGTATGTTTGTTAAGGGCCTGCCAGTGCGATTTCCCTTCTGGTTAATCTTGGTAGGCGGAGGCGGAAGGCGGTCTTCCTTTCAGGTTCACCCTCCCACCTGATTCCAGGGATAATTGGCTTTATGATTATATGCCTCTTCGTTGTGCTAATGGCGATCTACTTTTCTATGGGAATCATCTTTGTGCTGGACAGAAAGATCAGCCGGCGTGCAGAGTCGATTCTAAGAACACTTGGTGTGTGCTCTCAGCTCTTCTATGCTACATTTCGCCGCCAAAACCTCAGCAGATGAGGGAGCCGACCCAGAAAGTATTCGAGGCCCCTATATCCCGTGGCCGCCGCGACTCCCCGTCGTGCGATTGCGCAAGCGAACCTATATAACAACCCCAACCTTTACAAAAAGGCCTGTGGCGGCCATGGATTGTCACCGTCTGGAGAACGCAGCCGCTAACCACAGCGTCAACGGAGAGGGAGCTGCCGACTCCATGGAAGCATGTGCGTTCACGTGGGATCAGTAAACGAAACGATCCATTGATATGACTTGTGCACGAGAAACAGATCTAGGCGCCATTGAAAATTGAATATTTGGCATCCTTCGAAGAAGCTCTCGGGCAGCAAGCATCACTGGCACGGCGCCGGCGTCGCCGCCGCGAGAAACATTTTACGGGTGTTGGCCTGACTTGTCACCTCCATCCAATGTAATTTGTCATGAATTTCAGAGGAGCGTCCCATTGGCTGGCAAAACACGAGCCTGCCGGGCCAAATTTCGCCAGTTCCAAGTTTATTGTCAGTCAGACTCGGAGTCGCGCCCGAAATGATTTGTACCTCGAGGTGTCCCTCAGCATCAGCTTTGTCGGCGGTTTCAAGACGCCTGGACGCTTCAATATTTTGCCATCCAGCTTCTGATACTTGCACCGATCGCATCCAAATGCCGATGTGCTCCTGTACTTGATACTACTCGGTTGTTTGCTCTATTTATTTATTTACGAGGACGAATTCTCTGTTCAAGCCCTGGTCTTTGGCATGCTGCGACTCCGGCAGCGCGTGTTGAGCTGGTTAAATGTTGATAACGGGGACGAACCCGGCAACAAGACGGACTATCTAACTAGACTATAGAGAGGTTACAGTTGTATGCCGTGAAACAACGCCACCTCCCGTCGCAATGCATCAATATCCGCTGTAATCGAATGAAGTCAGTCGCATTCGGCAAAGAGATGAAGGACAAGTACAGACCCTCGTCTTCGGTGAACTCCAGCTCAACGCTGCCTCTAGGAGTGCGACGCCAACGATACACGTACATATAATCGCCGTCAAGCCACAGGTATTGCAGTCGGGGACAAGTTCGTACCAACCGACTAGTAACGGCTGTAAAGGCGGATTCGTCCGCGTTGTGCATCGTATCGACGTCAGTGGAACACTCGTAGCTGAAGGTCCACCGAATCACCAGGGTAATCAGCGTCGGAGGGAAGGATGTGATGCTAGGTAGCTTGGTAAAGAGGTTCATCGGCTGGCAAAGTGTCATCGTTATCCACCATAGGAAGTTGAATCTACTCACAATGACGTTGGTGTTGCATATCGGCTCGATAATGCACCATATTTTGACGTCCAGCTTGGTCAAAGAAGGGAAAGACGTCAAGATTGTCCGGAGCCTCGGCGCGGTAACGGTTCCTTGAAGCTTCAAATCGTCGTCAGGCTCCCGTCCATCCTCTTCGTCACCGAGAGATTTGACGTAATCGTCTAATGCGATAGCTAACGAGTCGATGGATAGTGATGGAGAGGTGCTGCCGTTTTTCTTCAGCGCAGAGACGAGTTGGGTCGGACTGCACGACAAGACAGTGAGGTCGGAAAGCACTGGCGCGGATTGCGCGCGTAGGAACGCGGGAAGCAGTTCACAGGAAATTGCGAGTTTTGTCAACGCCGCCGCAGCCGGGTCGACATTGGGGATCTTCGCTGGGGTTTCGTGGCCAGAATTGGCGAGTTTCAGCTCTGCAATGGCCGGAAAGTGCCCCAGGAGGCGTATGCACTCCTGTGCCGCTGCGCCATTGGCGATTTCCGTCCGCAGTGTGGCCACCTTGACGGCTGCAAAGCGAGGGAACTTCTTCGAAAGGCCCTGGAGGTTACAGTCGAGGGACAGTGTGTGGATGGAGCGGAAGTCCAGGAGCGGCAGCCACGGGTGCAAGGCGTCCTTTTTGGCGAATTCGTCCGCAAATGTGAACATTTGAACACGCAGTGTTTGACCGTCGATCGCGTCGGACGAGCCTGTAACCTCGCAGCGGTCAACGGCCAGCGTGCGGAGTGCGGGAAGGCCGCAAAGGATCGTCAAGTGCGCAGAAGAGAGTTGAATGTCGCGGAACGTGAGGTGCACGAGTTTGGGGAAGTTTCTGATGCGGCTGAAGAACGCCGAGAGCAGCGCGTACGGCTCCGAATCTGGTGAAGCCGAAAACTTCCGGGAACCATATCGAAACCACTGCGAAACGTCGCAGCGCCGCACGTTGGGAGAGATGGCCTCAGAAGTCCAGAAGTCCAGTCTCCGAAGCGCCTGCTCCAGATCTCGCGGCTCCGGAAGGAGCAGAGAACCGTCCGACTCGCGGGCATAAGGATGAAACTCGAATCGGCGGAAGAGGACTTGTTGGCACTGGCGGGCGAAGGTCCGATTCACCAGCGCCAGATCGAGGAGAATTGCGTGCGGAAGCTGGCTGAGGATTTCGAGCCAGATCTCCGTTCCGACTTCTGGCATGTGCGCTCGCTCGTCGTGGGCTAACCTCACTTAGCTCGCTTAGACCGAGTCTATACAAGATGGGAGTGGGACTCGCCGAATTAAAGCGAGTCCTTGATGACATTGGCATCAACCGCATCAGTTACATCATTTCCGGCACAGCGCTGCCGTTTGTCGCGGTTTTTGGTATTCTGAGGTTTTCTATACATTATTCACTAGGATTACTGCTGGGGGAACAGTGTTCCCCCCAGACCCCCCTCCTGTTGCCTGACGGCCATACAGATATTTTTATTATTAGTTTTATCCGAGTTTAATCATTTTTCTGCTTATTTAGAGTCTTTTTATTGTATCTAGAGCGGGGAAGACCCCCGCGGACCCCCCTTAACGCTCGCCGCTAGGGCCCACTGCGTGGGGCTCTTCAATAATTTTTTAATGTGTGTATCAATTTATTTAAGCTTGTACAGAGTTTTAAAGAGTATCTAGCACGGGGGAGACCCCCGTGGACACCCCTGACGCTCGTCACTGGGTAGACAGCTATCCTCATCCTGAACCTATTACTGTAATCTTGAATATAACAAAGTTATTCTCGTGTCCTCCGCGGAAAAATAGGCGTCAAATCCCAAATCCCAATTCGTACTTCCATAGCTTTCTTCAGGCAGCCAATCCGACCTCAGAAGGCAGACAAAAATCTGGATCCGCGATAAATACTCTGTCTACGAAAAACCGAGGTTGCTAGGGAGTTCGACCAAGTCATCAAAAGTAAATACGATCAATCCAACCTCGTTCCCACGGTTGGATCACTAAAGCAAACAAAGCACTACAATGGTTCAACTTGATGTTTTAGCTCTCGGGAGGATGGAAGGGGTTTTGTTATGTCCGCATTGATTATTAATCTATATATGTAGTTACAATTATGGATGTACAGAGCTAGAGGCTGATATCCAAAATTCTCGTCCTACACCAGACGCACAAAAAAGAAATGACACGACACGGAGCAAGGTAGGAATCGAACCTAGCTCCTGGTCTATTATTCCATACATGAAATATATCAAAGCCAGACACGCTAAACCATGGCGGCACCCGTCGCAGCAAGGTTGAATGGCGTAAATCAAGGTCAAGTAAAGAAAGGTGGGGATCTCGTCCTGGTGCGTTCAGATAATGCAAAAATCTTCACATCTAGCTGAAACGGGATCGAGTTGACGCCGGTGGGGGAGGGGGATTTTCCAAAGTGAGTTGAATTTTATTCTTTGCGCGGTTGTTTATCTCGTTCATTTTTGCTAGGATTATTTATCATTTGGGGGTCGTTAGAGATTTGAGCGACACTTTCACCCCCTACTCAATGAATAACTTGCGAATTCCAGGAAATAAATATTTTGGGAGTCGTTCTGGTCCCAACTCGGATTTCCGCTCAAATCTGCAACTTTAAACACACCTAGTATTGAGCCGATTTGTGCAGAATTAAATGGGTACACCCTGACCAGATCTAGATGACGTTAACGTTTTAGAGATCGCTCCGATCCAGTTAAACCTGGATTGGACTTTTGTAGTACTTTTGTGTTGGAATATGTTTACGGTTTTAGTCGTTTTAGATGCCTATTTTCGCAGGGATTCGGGAGGCGCCAGACAGCTTTTAAGCAACACTTTGGCCCTACTCGATGGATAACTTGCAAATTCCACGACATGAATATTTTGTAAGTCATTCCGGTCCGACCCAACTCGGACTTCGTCAAATCACCAAAAAAATTGCATAAATCGCAATTTGACACCAGCCGATTTATGCACAATTGAACGTAGTCTTGTTTTTACCACTGGGGTCTGATTGCAGTGCTCGCTTATTGGGCTTCACAAAAGACTCGGACGCGATATTTCGGCATAGTATATGTTCCCTTCCCTGTGTCTGACTTTTGTCTCTTCAGAATCTCGAAATATGGTCTGGAATCCGTTGTGCAAGGAAAGCTATTTTGATCATGTGATTGTGGCCAGAGTCTCTTCCAACGCAGCTCAAACAAGGTACCGAGACCTCCAAAATTGCTGGAAATGTTTGGAGGTGCTCTTGGATTGTATTTGACCTGGTATATAATCCCGATATCAGTATGCGAGCTTGATATGGCTTGACTTTGAGAGTTTTGCTAGCGGAACACTGCGATCAGACCCCTGCGGTAAATAACAGACTTCAACATGCGAGGTACGAACACCATCTGTTAAGGTGTCTGTATATGAGAGACTAAATTGAACGAGCACAACCTACAAGATGGCGTTGAAAACGGTTTTGTAAATTGATCCGATAGAATTGAACCTTGGAACATATTTTACGGTTCTTCGCTCTGGGTGCCAAGGTCTATGCCAATTCAAGTGTCACGAACGAGAAATTAACTCCGTGGACGCACGTGCCCCTTTGTTCTGTATATAAATTCGGGCGTGGGATATTTGGTGTAACAAATTTCTCGTCCTTCCCACAATGAGCCACTTGAAGCGCGATCCTTCGGAATATCACGCCACTGCAGCGCCGGACACGGTACGTCTCTCTAATCAACCTTCCAGCCGCTGCTCATAAAGATTTCAAGCATGCGTCGGCAACGACGTACCCCAATATCGAAACCGGGTCGGGGTTTACCGAATTTCCTGCCGTCCGTTGTCCAATCTTCTACATTTAATTGAACTGGTGCTGATACAAGGGCAGAACTACGAGGAATTAAACCCGTTGGAGCAGATGAAGATAGCCGGTATGGACGTGTCGGTGGACGGCATGCTCGCTGAAATGGCGAATCCGCATCTCATGAAAACGGACCCTGGATACGAGACTCAAATGCGGCAGATGCTCGAGGGTATGATCTCTGAGATCGCTAGCAAGCCGTCGATAAAGATAATGGGGGTGAGTACTGTTTCTTTCAACGCGCCCGAGGCTTTGTCTGTTTCGATTCATCCATCCTTTTTCATCCAGGTCCCACCCACAGCCGAAGTACAGGACGACGTGCACTACCTCTACATCCCCGGCACCGACAACCTTTGCATCCGCTTCTACCCCGGCGGCAGCGCAGCCAAAAGCCACGGCTTATATTTCGTGGACCTCTATGACCGCGGCGCGCGCAAGGCAATAGCTATACCGGCTGATTTCCATTTCTACCTCTGCCGACATGGGGACCCGGAGCTGCCCCTCCTGGAGTTGCATACGATTGAAGCCGCGTTCGACCGGTCGGTCGGCGGCCCCGAGAAGATCGTGGTCGATGAGGGAATGCTTTGTTGTCTTAGGATGGGGAATAAAGAGAAATTTGAGTTTATGGTTCCATGTCGTATGCAGGCCCGGCAGGCTACCAGCTCGCCTTGGGGCGAGATGCGCAAGTGAGACTGGAACGCAAGAATAGAGATTTACAGTAGAGGCAGGGATGTAGCTACGCCATCAAATCATGCATGTTTTCGATGTCTTGCACCTCGAATTTACTTGGAAGGTTATCGAGAAGCTTGTCAGGTTAGGTCAGGATTATTTTATTTCATTGCGATCAACTGGAATTCCCACGGTTGGAAGCCGAGCCAAATACGGCACTACAACGGTTCAACTTTGAAGGCAATGGTTTTTTTTGCAGAGTGAGACGCTGTTGATGCTCAGAACTAGGCTTGTGGTTGGTTTAGGCTGCGCGACGTGCGTATGGACCGATATTCCTGCCCGAGTAACCCAATTCCCATCTGGCTGGACTTGAATTATGAAGGCAGAGAAAATGCCAGTCTGAGTTTAATTGAGAAGAACCGCGACCGCCCGGCCTTCCCTGAGTTGATTCAAGCCGTTCGTCCGAGCAGACAATGGGTGACTTCCCGTAAGATTTAAATATTCCGGCGCATTTTTTGAGCTTAACCGAGGGTGCCAGTGATACGATCAGTGGGCTGGATATTCACTTGATATTCACGCCGTCTGTATTTCCCACAAGAAAAATAATACTTTATACATTGATGGTACATAAGCAACCAACCAGCTCACACCTGAATGTCCCCAGCACTGTGTTGGCATATCGAGGAAGCGCGACGACGGCGTTAAAACAGATCTTCTCAAAAATTGACTTTATACACTGAGATATGAATTACAATGAAAAATGGATCTAAAAGAGCGGATTTTTTGGCTATAGTTAATGTAGGGTACTCGGGGCAAAGCCAGGACCTCAAGAAATCGGTGATACAACAGTGGTATGCTTGCAAGTATGGGCGGAGAGTTTGTGACCAGAGTGGCAATGAGTGACGATCAATCATTTCTGTCCCAAAAGAGATATTCGAGGAAACAAAAATCTAGACGAGGGGTAGGGACCCCTCGTCTAGATTCAACATATTTCGAGTGATGCGAGAATAAATCGCGGCCGCTTGTGGGTGATGCAATTGATGGGGTCCTGACAGGTCGCTCGGCATCACGGCGGAAATTGCGAAAATATTCCTCTCGAATATTTAATGCTTACGGGAAGTCACCCAATAGCATAGCAGAATAGGATATTTACACATTACTGGAACTTCTTTTTATTGTCCTTATTATTGGTCGTCCAACCACCATTTAGGATAATGAACCCAAGACAGACACCAACCACGGGTTGGCTTCGATCCGAGGTTGAAATTGCGCAACACACCGTTTCAACTCCTCTATCTGTGCTTGCGGAGAATCGTCCGTCATGACAACATCCTCGCCGTCCACTGCAGGTTGCGCCCACGCAGAGAGTAGCTCGTCCACAATTTTGAGGCCCTCGTCCGTGAGTTCCGGAGGAAACTCGGACTCGATGTGTTTTTCTGTGGGAAGGTTCAAGACAGCGAACACGAATGGGGCGGTTATGCTGACCTCCGCCAAAGTCCTCCAACTCGTTGGCTTTTCTCCGAGCAAGCTAAATGAAATGAGGTTGGAATTTGAACATGTCTCAACGCCGTATCAAGCTTACTTTGACGACATTCTCGGGAAAGTTCGCAAGTTGTGCGACGTGAATACCGAAGCTCTGATCTGAAATCCCTGTATGCATGTCAGCCGGCGAGTTCTGCGGTCGAAATCCGACAAAAACACACCGGGTTCCACTTTGTATAAAAGCGTAATCTGTTGCTCTGCCCCGTTCTCCCCCTCGTCAACATGAGCGACGACGTGTAGATTTTTAACATGCGGCAGTTGTTGATCCAGTGCCGTCAGTTCATGGAAGTGTGTCGCAAACAGACAAAACGCGTGGATTTCGGATGCGATATGTCTAATCCACATCAGTGAGGCCCGACGAGAAGCGTAAATGAAAAGCCTACTCCGAAATAGCCCATGCTAGTCCAAAGCCGTCGTAGGTTGAGGTTCCTAAGCAAAGATCAGTTGCGACCGTACAAGTCAGTTTTTGAACCCACCTCGTCCGAGCTCATCGATAATAATTAACGAGTCTTTCGTAGCAGACTACGGAAACCGTTGGCATATGTTTCGAGAGTTGTAGAAATAAACTGACTCGTAAGATCGTCGCTGTCTCCAACATCTCCGCCATAAACGTCGAGACACCCTTGAGCTGACTATCTCCCGCCCCAACTCTACAAAGGACGGAATCAAATACCGGCAAACGCGCCTCGGAGCAGGGCACGAAGCAGCCTGTCTGAGCCATCAATGCAATCACCCCAACCTGAAGATTTCGTCAGCCAACAGCTTGAACCAAAGGCAGACGCCACGCACTTGACGAATGTAGGTGGATTTCCCGCCCATGTTGGGCCCGGCTGAACAAAACCTTGTCAGGATTTACAAAGACGGAATCCACTCGCACGTACTGATTATCTGGAATTCGCTCTTATCTGTCGAGAACGTCAGGCGTGAGCCCCAAAAAATAGTAGTCGCATACCTTTGACCATCTCGACCTCGTTCGGGATGAAGCTGACATCGTCCTGGACCTCCAAGCACGGATGCCGGGCATCTCTAAGAATGAGATCGCCAGTTCCTAACGACAGAGGGTTTAAGCATATTACGTTGAAATAACTCGGCTACCGACCTCGCTGCGTGACTTTGGGTTTCACATAGGGTTCGGGTGCGTTCACAGAGACGTGGGCAAAGCTAAACAGCAAGTTAGAGCAGATAGCTAAGCTACAGAAACGATATTCACCTGAGAATGACAT